TTTTTTTTTTTTTTTTTTTTAAATAAAGACATTCACTTAATTTCAATATTTTCCTTTTCTTTATAGTTCGAGAAGATCATATTTTTATAACTCTTTTTGAACAGTTTTATGTTTGGACATTGCTTTAATTCCATATTCAGACTGTTCCATAGTTTCACTCCATGAACAGAAACACAAAAGCCTTTTCTTGTGGTACGTACCTTCATTGTTTTGAAGTTACAAAATTTTTTTAGCTTTACTTCAAGAGGTTATCATAAAGTAGGGCTATTAACTACTAGGAGTTATGGCCATTATTACACATAAAGCATAAAAAAAACTTAATGATGAGAAGTTGTTTTCGTATTGCTTTTATTTTGACATAGCAAGAAAGTAAGTGCTGTATTTTGTGTGTTGTGTGTGTGTGTGTGTGTGTGTGTGTTCATTTCTAGATTTGGCTATTAAATAGTCTGTTTGACAGATGGCAATAATGTTACTGTGCACACACTAAGTTAACCTAATTTGGAGCTATGAAGACACACAGAGCTGCATGGTGTTGTTTAGATGGACTTGTTTTGCATGTTTATATTTCCTAAAGATACAGTTAGAAAATACTGATGGAGAGATGCACTGAGGAGAAAAGACTTTCAGCCAAATTCCTCTGCATATGAGCAACAATTGCTGTCAAAGATATTACTCGTAAAATAAGACACCGGTTAGCATTTTGCACTTCTGCTTTTCCCTTGTTGTTTCTCAGTCCCCCATTCTCTCTTCACAGTCTCTGCATCCTCACAGATACAAGCAAAGGAGTGCGGAGTCGGGAAATAGGAATTCAACAAAACTGAACCAGAGTCGTCATTTCAAAGCCAAGTAAGTAAGACACAACTGCATGGCGTGTCCATTGTTTAGTTATAGCCTGGGCCTACTGCTGTATTAATGACATCTTATTTATTCATTTAAGATTTGGGTCTACAATACAGTCCACAATATAACATACTGCTGGAGAGACAGCAAGTTAAAATCTTGTCATTTGCTTTTATGTTTATTTTTGGGCGTCCTGTGTTATGGTGCTTTGAGTTTTTGGAGTTTTCTATTACAAATATTCATGGTTAGTTTCTTTGTTTTCATCCTTGGGCTATTCTTATTTACAGTTTTGCTATCTAGTTTAGTTCTTGGTTATAGTTTGCTTATAGTCACTCTTTCAGTCTATACCACCCATCTCTGTGTAAGGTGTTCTCATGCTTTAGTTATTTCCTGGTTTATTTTGGAAACTCTTGTCTCATGTATGTTGTATTTAGTTTTGCTTCACTTTGCAATCTGCCTCCTCCTCTGTCTGCTTTTGGGTCCACACTTGAACCAACTCCAAACATGACTGTATCACCATTCACCTTTTGCACTTAGAGAAACATACTTAGATGGTACTAAGCTGCTGCCGTGATGCCACAAGTTGACAGGGAAGCTTTTGTTTTGGGGGTGCTTAAAATGTAAAATGGAAGCAATTTACAAAAAGGATTTGAAATGATGACTTTATGTCTTTCTTTAAAAGAAGAAAAAGGCTGCTGTTAATTCAACAGATGCCCACAACATGTGGTAAAAGACTTTTAGGCTTAAATCGGGTTAAATGAAGTTGAAAATGTAATGTTTTTTTTATGTTGTTTCTGTTTAGCTGCATTCAAATTATTATGCATATATTACAAAGAGAGCAGAGATGTAATTCAAAGCAAAAGCCTTTTCTATTTTGGAATAAACTGAACATTTATCTGATTAAATACTCTGATTGAAATTATTTTGTTACTTCTACACATATATGAGCTTGAGCCCCAGACTCCAACAGCCAATGCAGTGTATCCCAGGAGCAAATCTGTTTTATTACTCGGTTAAGTCTAATGACTTCAGTGCTGAGTGTATTTGAGTAGGCAGTGACCTGTTTTTTAGTTTCCATTGGAAAACAATATTACTGTATCCCGCTTTTTTCAAAGATTCTTTTGGTAAATATGTCACTGGCTGCAATTGTGTGCAAGCTTTTTCACCAGTCTACTGTTCTTTACAGCACTCTCGCCCACTATTATTTATTTATTTACTTTTTTCAAAAATGACCTCTGACAAGAAAGCCTAATTTCTGCTGTTCAATACCAGAGAAATTGAAACTTTTACAAATTATGCCAAATTGCAAAATGCCTAGCTATGTCTCTAATAAAACCTCTGAAACTTTGTTCAGCGTCAGGCAATGTTCATATGTTGATTCATGGTTTTCTTCCATTTTTGATCTAGTGCAGAATATTTTTAAGGGATTATCTGCTATAAAAAGCCAGGATAGAAAAAAAAATTCCTTTTTCTGTGTCTTAAAAGGTGCCTTCTGTAATGCTTACACCTCTAATGAAGTCTTACAAGTGTCAGTTTTGTTTTTATACATTGTAAAAAAAAATGTAACAGTTTTTTTGTTTTAGAAATGTGGCGGGGTTCATTTCCCGAGGGGGATGTAAGCTGGCAACATAAACAGGGATATGTGGTCCAACTGGCCCAGGCGGGTGATGGTGAGGCTTTGTAGTAGCTCTGTTTAATGTTGGAGCAGACTTTATCCTTTTCGCAGATGTAGCACAGTTTACATGCAGGTGAAATTTGGGGAACACTACTTTTAAGTCCACATGATTAAAGACATCAGCTTTAATGTGTGCTGCTTCTTATTCATCTTTCTTATTCAGGTGGGTGCGAATGGCATTATGTAGAAGGCTAAGGGCTGAGTTAGATTTAGCATTGGAAGCTATATCTAGTGCCGTGGTCAGAATAGCTTGAATCTCGCGGGGAAGAAAAATCTCACAAACTCTAAGTCTGTAGAGCAGTGATTGTCCACAGTCTTAGTATTATTTGCTCATTTTTCATTAATATAAAGGGAAAGACCACCATCTTGCTGTTGTTTCTTTGAGTTCTGGTTTCTGTGTTGACAAGTGCATTGGGTTTTGCTGGGTAAATCCATAACTCTGCAGCAGTCCCCAGTGAGTCTATTATCTTCCAGCTGTAGCCTCAGCTCATCCCTTTTGTTAATAATAGTCGTTTGTGAGGAAAAGGCTGGGCAGCGTAGGTTTGTGCAGTGTTTTCTTTACCCTTTCTCACTCACCAGCTTGGCAGGCTCGTTTTTGTTTCCTGTATCACTGCCTCTGCCTTCTATCCCAATTGATCCCAGGATCCTGACTTGGGAGATGACCTAAAACAGCGCTTGAGTGATACTTTTTGCCTAAATGCTCTGGCACTGCCTTGGGGTAGTCTGTGATCATTAAGTTGTTCTTTCTTTTTTTTTCTTCTTCTAGAAACCTTTCTTCTAGACACCAAAACATCAAAAATGGGTAATGAATTACCAAAGGAGAGTGACATGGGAAGCTGCCTGAGATGCTGCAAATGTTTTAAAGTCTTGCCTCCATGCAAATCATTTCAGAACTTATACCAAAGTACTATTCATGGGCGACACGTACATGTGTTCAATGGAGGTGAATACTACAGACCAGTTGGTTACAATGACGCATATGAGTGTGATTATTGCTTTAATAAGCCAATCAGAGATCAAGAGGAAATGAGAAGAGAAGAGGAGAGGAAGAGAAGAGAGGAGGAGTGGAGAAGAGAAGAGGAGAGGAAGAGAAGAGAGGAGGAAAGGAAGAGAAGGGAGGAGGAGAAAAGAAGAGGAGAGGAGAGGAAGAGAAGAGAGGAGGAGAAGAGAAGAGAGGAGGAAAGAAAGAAAAGAGAGGAGGAGAAGAGAAGAGAAGAGGAAAGGAAGAGAAGAGAGGAGGAGAAGAGAAGAGAGGAGGAGAGGAAGAGAAGAGAGGAGGA